CGGCCCCGCTGCCAACCCCAGCCTGCCGGGATGCAGGAGACAGGGTGTTTTTTCCACCAGTGCGTGGGATGCAGGAGGCATTTGCAGCGATGAGTTAACTCCTCTCCTGTGGAGCAGATCCTGACATGCAGTGCCCCTGTGCTGGCCTAACAGGTTTCAGGCTTTAAAGGATTTTATGCTGGATACTTTGGCAGTGGCTGCAATTTCCCTGCAGGACAGCCAGCACGGAGCCGTGCCGCGATTTCCCCGGATCCCTACATCCTTAAATATGCCAGTAACATATTGCATGTCCGTGACCAATCATATCACCTCTCCGTGCCTCATTTCTTCATCAGCAAAGAGCACACAGAAATGCTGCCTTGCTTAAAGGAAATTAATACAGTTAATTAACACTTGGCCCTTCTAATATTCAAGGGCCCGCTCTCTGGAGCCCTTGCACTGCAATTCCATCATTACTGTGAAGCATTAGCCACAGTTAGACCAGATGTTTGCACACAGTTAATGTTTCTTCCAGCTGGGGAGGGAGGGGAAAAAGGCAACCCCAACAGCCAGGCGGGAGCAAATGGCTGGTGGTGCTCTCCCCGTCCCCGGGGAGCCTCGGCCAGGCGCTTCCTGGGGTGACGCAGGGTTTGGGACACAGCTGCTGCACCAGCTGCTCCCGCTCGCTCACAAAGGCTGGGGTTTCACACACACCCCCCCCCCAATTCATACAGGAGCTTATTTGGGGGGAGCAGGCTGTGCTCTGCCCCCCCCTCCCACCGCGCTGCCTGGCTGCGCTGCAACTTCTCCAAGGCTTTTAGTGCTGGCGGTGCTGAAAAAGGGCAGTTGTGAAGACAAATGAAAGGCAAATGCTGGTGGGAGAAGGAAGGGCAGGGGCTTTTCTTGCATGCATATGAGGGAAAGCAGATGAATCCCATCTCCTGCACAGCTGCAGCCTCCTCTCGGCCTCGCCAGCCCTGCTAAGGAGTGGAGATGTGCTCCCAAGATTAGCTGTCTGGCGGGTGCTGCACAAAGATAAAGCCCTGTGTCCACGGCCCCACTTGGTCACGGAGAGGATCAGGAAGGCTATTCATACGCTTTGTACTCCAGCCGGATTTACCCTGCAGCAGTCACCGGGTTCGGGTGGGTTTTGGCTGCCTTGCACATCGGGACAGACTCAGGCCAAGGGGTGTCTGCTGGCCCCTGCGCTGAAGGAAAAGCGCAGACCGGGGCTGCAGATGGAGCCAGAGCTGGTATCTACACTGCAAAATCATCTCCTGGCAGTGGGAGCAGGCAGGAGGAGAGCCGGCAGGATGCAAACCTGCATCCCTGTGCTCAGCTGACCTTAGCGTGTAGGTGTCCCAGAAGCACATTTACTGTCCTTGTCAACCGTGGCGTGGTCCTGCTTTCAGCAGTTGCCATACGGACTGCGCTGAGCTGTCGCGCTGGAATGGCTGTGTCGCGTGGAGGCAAGTGCGACTTCCCCCAGGGTCCCCTGCCAATGCTCCTGCTCCCAGCACTTCAGTTCAGATGACGGCGAGCTGACAGCATGGCACGCTCTAGCTGCAATGGGCCTGCAGAGGGGACAGGCAGCTAGGGAAAGCCCAGAGCCCCCATAGCCCTGCTATCCTGACCTTACTGCCCTCCGCCGCCATCACCTTAGCCATCGCCTTTTTTCTACGGGAACCGAAGCGATTTTCTGATAGCACAAATAGAATAACTAAAGCTTGCTTGTGGCAGAAGGAGAGCATCGCCGGTTTAGGTGTCTTCTCTCAGATCCTGGTCCCAAAAGCTAGGAACCGTCTGTTCCCTTGCATCTTGTTAGGGAAGACTACACACCAGCAGTTCTTCTCCCTAGACATCAGACCAACTACTCTCTTGGATGCTGGGCACAACAGATTCAGCAGTGTTATTTCCTTCTCTCGTATGACGGCATCTGTCGTTAAAGCTCACATCAATCTGTAGAGTCTTTCAGTAGAAGCGACAGGGGCACGGAGCCTGCTCGCCCCCTGCTCCGCTCTTCACACCAAAACAGGGCAATCTTGTTCCAGCCTCCGTAAGACAGAGCAGTACAAACGCCTGCTTGCCATGCCAGTTGCTAGAAGCCCCTCCGCTTGAGGAGGCTCTTCGACTTCCTTCACTCAAGGCCTGCGGAGAAACGGAGAGGCTGAAGTGCTCCTCTCCTTGCAGAGCAGCATGTTGTGCAAATCGCCTGGGAGTCCTCAAGGAGTACATCTGGGAATAAGCCCCTTGATGTTGCCTTCTGTGCTTTAGCTTTTACCTAAACTTCGTAACTCTAGCCAGTCCAAGTTCACTTCCCAGCAGGTTCAGAGCATGGTCATTGGCACTGTGAACCCAAAAGGCTGGTAAAGTGTCAGAGCAAAACCTGTAGCTCACTCAGAGCTTCACTTGGAACGGAAGAAGGGCTCAGGTACAGTATGATGCTTTGAGAGGGGAAAAAAACCACTTTAAGATAGGACTGACATCAGTTTGGAGGTGTTAATTTGGCTTCTCATGGGCTCGGGCTGGACACTCCAGTATTACAGCAGCTACAAAGCAGGAGGTTTTGTCTTACAGCTACTCAGCGCTCCCCTCGCAGAGGGACCTTCTTCTGCTTGGGATCAGGACCTCCCTTACCTGCCCGTGCCGTAGGAAGCTCCTCACACGGGGACTGCTTTATCTCCATTACCACAGCTTTTACCTCTACAGCATAAGAGGCAGCAAAATCACCTATATACATCCTTATTTTGTCTAACTATTTGTGTATGTCCTTATTTTGCTTAGCTAATGGGCGAAGCAGCTTCAGACTCGTGTCCAGAGCCTTGTACCTGTGCCCTGCTCTGGCAGATGGTCTTGCCGCAAGCTGTCTGCCCTAAAAAGGAGTATTTGGGCAAGGACCAGGCACACAGACTGAAGCCAGGACTCCACACGCGAGCGGGGCAGTCACCGACAGAGCTTCCTCCAGCTGACTTCTCTTTGAAGAGTGGCATGCTCTCTGCGACCACTCGCGCGCCTTCCTGGCAGACTGCAAGGCACCAAGGAGCAGTCTGCCCTGTAACCACGTCACCCCAGGAATACCCAACGGGACAGACGGACTCTCTGCCAG